CACTCGAATATACCTTTTTTATGTATATAAATTTTCTCATTATTTAACAAAAGAATACTAATAAACGAAAAATAAACAAGTATTATGAATTTGTATTTAACAAATCAATCTTGATTTGATTATTCAATTTTTCTAGCGCTTTTTTCTCCACGCGGAATAGACGTTCTGAAGGTTATTTGTTTGTCCACCAGTATTTATTTGCCATCCTATTTTTTTACATGAGTAAAATTCTTCCCCTGCCACCGGATCGTGGGAGTGGCAGGGGTATGAGGGAGTCTTAGTCAGAAACGGGAACTATGGTGAATGTTATAATATTATAGTAATAATAAATAGATTAAACAAAATATTTATTATTACAAGGTTAACTTTGGACTGTACATTACATTAGCCGTATTACACCCACTGATGATACCATTTCTGCTAAGAATTAAGATTAGTCTTACTGTAACTAATCCTCTTTTTTTATCCAAGAACATAGCAAGCAAGCAAATTTACATCATGTTGAGTTATTAGCGCTAAGGTTTGTAAATCTCTTGCTGATGTTATTCACGTCGGTCTGAAATAATAAGGTTACTAAAGATAAAGATAAACATAACGTATAAAGCAAACAGAAAGAGGCAGAGGATTACGTTGTAATGCAGTGTCCATTAGGTTAAATGCCCAGCGTTTTATTACTATTATAACTGCGATTGATACCATCATTTCAACATAATAGTTATGCATGTATTACCTTGTGTGTAGAGTATAGGGAAGAGGTGCTAATTTGAAACCTGGTGATAATTTGGAACCCCTTAATATCCCAGGAACAGACTACGAAATCTGTTGAATACCTATGAAATTACGTCGAATTGATTTACTTTATTTATTTATTTTTTATGTGAAAAGTGTCAAACGAGCAGACGGTTCACCTGATGTTAGGTGAATACCGCCACCCATGGACGTCTACCACAACCGAGGGTAACAGATGCGTTGACAACCTTTTGAAAATTGGGCTTCGGCTACCTCACTCACCAGACGAAACGCAAAAGTATTTGTTATACTTCCACTTTACGGCGGTCTTCGGCGAGGTCGTGGTACTTACCCGGACGAGCCTGCCCAGTCGTGCAACAGCGAAGGCTGCTGCGTGGCCCTACCACAGCTTTTTTGTATTTTTTGTATTTTTTGTTAGTTAGTTTGTTTGTATTTTTATTAGGTTTATTAATTACTGGCACTATTTTTGCATCGAGTTTGGACCTGTTATAAGAAGTTGAAAATTTGACTCACCTGCACATTTTTTACTTTTATTTCCTAACACTGTTAAAACTTTAGCTTCTGTCTTAAAAAGTAAATACAGTAGGTATTACACGAAGTATATACGCATAAGTTTACACTGTCAGGGGTAAGTTTTAAGATTTATTTGAATTATTTTTTGTTATCTTGATTATTTGGTAACAAAATAAGGTTTTAATTTTGGAACTCGATAGGTGCAGGTAATATGGAACCGAATTCCAAATTACCCGCATTATTTTATTGACCGGGTCTCCTTACAAACAGCGACTTGAGTAGTCAATCAAGTCTATAGCGCAGAGAGAAAGAAGTCGGGGAAGAGGTCGGGGAAGAGCTCGTGGGCGTAGTGGTGGGACAGACTGTTGCAAAGTCTTCTAGAACTCCTCTAAACAGCGAGTATTCGATCTCTTCGGATTCTGAATCTTCTGTTTCTTCAGGTGACTCTGTAATGTCAGAAAATGTTACCGCGCATGTCCAGCCCACAAATCATGATGATGCTTGTTGCATTTTTTGCTCTGAAAATTAATCTAACGATCAACAGGGTGAAACTTGGATTCAGTGCTTATCATGTAGGTTGTGGACACATATTGAATGCTCAGGATGTGACGCTGAGTATTATATTTGTCATTTTTGTATGTAAAATTATTTCATAATTGTATTTTGGAACCAGTGTTCCATAATACCAACACCAGAGCTTTGAAAACATTTTTTTTATTTTTCCAAGAAAGCAATTTTTGTCCTATAATGCGTGATTTTATTTTATTAATTAGTTTCTAATATAGAAGCAAATCTGTTTTTAAATATAAAGAGTCAGTTTTGTGACGATTAGTCAACTAGTTTTCTTAAAATACTCAAAAAACCAAGTGGGGTTCCAAATTACCACCCCCTTCACTATTATTTAAAAGGTATTGGATAGTAGAGTCAACTAGTTTCGACTGCAGTAGGGCCACGCAACGGGCTTATAGGTGAAATGAATAGTATGTGTGATTAAGTTAAGTAAGCACAATTCATTTGTAAATACAATCTTTCATATGAGTATAAATGGTAAAATGCATTTTTATATGGATGAGAAAAAACATTCAAAGGAGCCTCGGGTCGGTTAACATGAAACGTTAGAATATACAATATTTTGGGCTAATCACTGATTTTAATATAAAAAAATGTATTGACGTATTTAAGTTGAACTCCAACAACTTAATATAATTGATTTTTAAATAGCTGAAGAAGAATAGAATCGGTAACATTGGTAACGGTATCGGTAACCAATCACTTATTACACCACAACTATTACCTAATTCATATAACAAATAATATAACTAACAAAATATGACACAAAAGAATTCGATGGTATGAACATCGGACATTCCTGAAGGTCTTACAGCAAAAACAAAGGAAAAATTCGGTAACAATTACAAAAGGTGAAAATTGAGATAAAATTTGGTATTTACAAGTTTTCGCAAAAATCTAAATTTGCCCATATATTTTTATAGTCTTAACTTAGGATCTTGATTTTTATACACCAGGAAATCGGTGGTGATTATTAACCAATTATATTATGGCTATATAATAAGGTAGGTACGGAACCCTCGGCGTAGGAGTTTGACTCACACCTGATCAGTTTTTTTTCTTTTCTTTCCCTTTTTTTTTGAAAACAGTGTTGTAGGGACGCTTTCCAAACATAAATTTCACGTGGAAAAACATCCAGATACGAAACAACTATCTGTGAGTCACATGAATAGCAGTCCCGTGTGAGAATTGAACCCACCACCCCCGACACCGAAGGCAATAGGATCTCTTTCCTCTGACACACATTTAATCGCCGTAAAAGAAGGAACTAACACTTTATAAAGGAAGGAGGAATAGAATCTGCGCCTTTTGTAATATTCAGTCATTATATATGGCGTAAAATGAACACTGAATCTGAATTTGAATTTTAAAGTTACTACTCTAAGGCCCGGTTTCTGAAACACTTCTCATCGTAGATGTCAACTAACCAACTTGCAAATGGTCTTGCAAACTATTTGAATTGATCATTCTGATCATTAAGATGTTAATTCTGGTCAATTCAGAGAGTTTAACCATCCTTTTGGCACCTAAAATGAAATTTGAAAAGCCATTTGACAGCTTATTAGTTGACATGTACGATGATCAGTGTTTCAGAAACCGGAGGTAAGACTTTTATTAGAATTTAAAGGTACGAATTTTCTAATTTTGGCGACGTACGGAGGCGAAATATATTCTTTATTGTAATTAGAGTCGAAAGTTTTTTACATTATACCTACATATTTTATTGGCAATTGTTCTAAGAATATGAAATATAATTTTGTCTCACTGCTTACTTCATTTAGGATATCATTTAGGCGGCCTCCCTTTGTCTTTTGAGCAATTTGCACTACTAAACCATATTGGAGACTTCGAAATATAGTGAAATTATAAATCAACATAAATTTCTTATATGTTTATAACTCGCTTCTGTTGAAATTTCAGTCCCTCTGTGCGTTATTATAATGAACTTGGGTTCCGAACATACGAGGGTACATGGACTGGACTATTGGGAGCTTTGAAAGACAATAACATAGATTTGGCTTTAGAACTCGTCACGTCTCACTCGTCCCAACATCAGGATATGGATTTCATCTTTCCTATAGCCGAAACGATGTAAGTAATCATTTTAATTGTAAGTAATATTAAGTAATCTTTCTGTCATGATTTTATCTTGTTTATTTCAATTGTTTAGAAAAAGATAAAAAACAAGAGTGCTTGATTTTGCTTATAGAAACTTAATACGTGCGTGAGGATATCAACGCCTTAGCTTCCTGCATAGTGGCTAGAGTACCTAGACGCGAAAATTTTTTCTACATTTTTATCTACAGATTTAAAGCCGTTCAATGTTCAATGTTTTTTTTTATATTCGCAACCGTCAGTATATTACATTAGTAAGAATTTTTGTATATTTGCTTACTTCTTTACATACCCAGAGCTCACACGAATTACAGGTGCAATTATTTTATGATTAGGACTGCTAAATTTATTAATGCACGAAATATCGACCCATTCTTTACTTCTCCAACTGTGGCTAAAAAAACTTTAACAGAGCAATATTTTTCCTAAAAATGGTTAACTAATTACTAAGAATTGAATTTGATTTATGTATTAAGTTTTTTCTTTTTTATTTATTCATTTTTATTATTTTTTTTTCTTTCATCACTTGCTCGACTTTTTTTAAAACATAATTATGTACTAAAGGTGGAAACTTGTAACTGGCTCTTTATATATGTTACAATATTGTTTTAAAATAAGTACCTAATTTGCTGTAAGTTTTCCTAATAAAAAAAAAATAGAGATATGTGTGTAACATAAAAGAGATGCATACTATTATTTATAAATAAAAGTACTATTGATATTATTTTCTTATTTATGATATTTGCCTAAGCTTTCATCACACTTTAACGAACTAACGATTCCCTTTTGTGCTCTAGAATTTTGAAGGAAACGTGCTAAACATTAAATAAAATAAAATATAAAATTTTGTGGTAAGTGTTGAAGAATTATGATATCGGAACACGATAAGTTCTATTGCAGGTTCAATATTTATATTCGCGATCAAGAGACGTCGGCGGTGCGTGATATATTTTTAGCACCCTTCAGTCCACGCTTACTTGGCTGCGTGGTTGCTGTTACATTTGCCTTTTCTACAGCTATCCTATTGATAAGCAGATGTGCACCTTCCTCAAATGGATCATCTATGGCATTCATCGAAGCTTTCCTTTGGTCTACTGGAATACTATGTCAGCAAGGTGAGATTTTTAATAAAATTACGCTGTATTCAATATCGGCATTGCGAGTATACGTATACAATTTCTAAAATTTATGTCAAATTGCACAAGTAAATCTTGCTACGAAATATTTATTTATTATTATGAACATATTTACCTATAACGATAGATTTATTGTTGTCAAGAATTTGTTTCCAGGTGGTTTCAAAATTCCCTCAAACCCGGCAGCGAGTGTCCTGCTAATAGTTTGTCTTCTTTTTGCTTTGGTGACATATAACTCATACGCGGCTTTTATAACTTCGGTATTATCAGTGAGGGTTGCCAGTGTTGACACGGTGACTGCTGTTCTCCAATCGCCTAATTTGAAGATCGGCTACATTAAGAATGGCCCTGATCAAATGTATCTCATGGTGAGAAAAATTTGTGTCGAGTGTTTTTTTAATGTTAGAAGGTGGCAAGCTAATGGGTGATTTATCTGATGTTAAGTATTAATCGCCACCGAAGGACCCCTAAAATATCCATGAGCCTGCACATTCGATCAACAGTAAAGGCTGCTGCGCGGTCCACAGATAATATAACTGTTATAATACATTTATAATATAATTACTGGCTTTCTAAAGCATAGCCTTCACCCTCTAATCGGGCTTGTTTAATATCAACGCTTTCAAATATAATGTAGTAACTAAAATTGTAAAAATTGAAAAAACGGCGATAAAATATTTTGATTAATATTCACTTACCTCTTTAAATTAAACTTATTTGTAAATGTTTGTATCCTAATTAGTCTAAATTAAGAAAATTGTTTCAAATGTGTGGAGCTTCGTATAACTTTTCACTTGAAATTAATTTTTTCAGTCGACAAAAGATGCTCAATTAAATGCATTCTACATACGAGGCTATTCAGAGGCGGAGAATCTAGTGACGACAGCAGAAGAGGGATTATTACGTGCAGCAAAGTATGACTATGCATTCTTCTCGGAACAGCGTTCGGCTCGAACCACTCTAAGGTGATATGATTTTTTTTTCACTCTATTATGATTTTTTTTTTGAAGTTTTCACATAGTTTATTTGTTCATTTAAATGAAATTACTTATTGATTTCTTGATTTTACGCGAACATTATATTTATGGATTTTATCCGTTTTAATTTTGATTTTAAATACCCGACATTTCAAAATGTCGAGAAATAAAAAATCAAAAAAATTTTTAGTCCGCGAAATGTTGGTATTTTCAGATGATTCGATTCTTTGATGTTAATTTTTGTTTTAGATCCCTCAGTCAGGCTCGTGGTCGGTGCACTTTACGCGAATTGGCAGTGCCTTCCACCGGGGCACATCTGGCCTTCCCATTATTGAAAGGCTCGCCCTACGCCCGGCCGGTTTTAGTCAGGTATTTGAAATAGATTTACACGGTCGTTGTTATCAGTATTTGATTTACGTGATATTCCCTGGCTTCTATTTTATTTATTCAACTTTCTCAAGTTTTAAAAATGATGAATTAGTTTTTTTTATAGTACTTTTTGTAGTTAGGCATTTAAGTTGTTATTATTGTTATGTTACTTTCAAGTAACAGGTGCTCATGTTGTGCGATTTGTAAGTCTTTCAAAGTTCTTTAGACCGATTTATCTAGTGTTAGTTAAAAATTCATCACAAATCAATTTTATTCTTTAAAATGATGAGACCGCTTGCTAGACGTCAACCCTCCTTAGACGAAACAGATCCGGAACAATTATCTGTAGGTCACACAAACACTTTTCGGATATGGGACTCGAACCCACAAACCTCGGGCACAGAAGCCTACTGAAGACTGCCACAGAATGGTGCAAGGTTTCTTCTTCTTCTTTCTCCTCTCCTTATCCCTTACTAGGTGGAGTTGGTACGACAATTGGTTCGTCATTTATTTTGGGAACCATGTTGTTATTTCAATTATTGACTGACTCTACTATTTCATCACCACAATTTTGAAAAAGAGCAACTGTTCAGTTTCTTGGCGGTCTCTTCTCAACAGAAACTGCTTTCCGAACGGGTAGTACTATATAACGGGTAGTAATATATATAATTTTTTATGTAAAATTTGAGGATTCATAAAAACGCGAAAGCGTCTATGTGAATAAATATATTTTTGATTTGAATTTGATTTGATTTGACAATAATTATTTTGTACTCGTTTCATGCGCAGTTTGCTACAGTTGCGCGGGACTGGTGTGCTCAAACGGCTGGAAGACATGCTCGTACCTGAAATGCCCAAGTGCGACCCGCTGCCCCATTTCGCTTCCGCCAGGGCAACGGACGTGCGCTCCGCTCTTATTCTATTCCTCATTGGGCTCGTATCAGCAACGCTCATTGGTGAGACTTTTTCGTGAACCTACCTAAACCGTGGGGTCGGGCCACGCATGATCAGCGTCGAGTAAAATTCATATTCATATTCATATTTACTTCTTCGGAAGGAACGGTTAAAGTTGATGTTCAATACAGCGGTGAAGGTAATCATCTTCATGAGAAATTAAATAGAAATGTTTTGAAGTTGTATGATGTCTTCCCAATGAAGAAGTGGAGACCTTTCTGTCAGCTGTCAAACATTTTCTTTAATTTTTTTACCTATGCGAAGTGATAAATACATTATTTTAATACAGATAAAAATCTTAATCAACTCACTACTCGTCTCCGAATGGAGAATTGAAGTAAATCCCGAAAAGAGTGTGGCGATTTACTTCACACGAAGTAATTACCCGTCACATCTTTGAAAAGGCACGCAGGAGTACATGCGCGGCCCTACCCACAGCCGAGGGCCTAAACCCGTGGGTTCTGGCTAGCCCACCGATTCTGCGTCAGATGAAGCTTTAATAGTCTCGGGACTGAAAGCACAAACATCAGTGAATACAAGATACATTATTTAATAGATATGTAATTCGATTAGATTACTTAAGGTTAATAAGGCGCTTGTTGATTGTTGATTTATAAATTATAATTTATTTAAAAATATTAACAATAATTCTTCAGCTACATATTTTTATTGCTACATAAATAATATATAAACAATTAATGATCACTTGCAGGTGTTGCAGAGTACCTTTGGAATAAACGCGTGCTGCTACAAAAGAATATTACTAGATATTGTACTCGTTAATATTGTAATTGCGTTGTTTATTGAATTGCAGTTTGGTTTGGTTGCCGGGTTTTTTATTTGTTTTACATCACAACAAATAATGTGCTAAATATGTTATATCAAATGCGTTGTTATAAAATCGTTAAAGTTATAATTGTCGGTAGATAATGTTATGTAAAAAATAGTTGACCTTTTATCTAAAAATGCCCCGTCATCGTGATTTACCAAGTATTACTTATAAACCACTATACTGAATATAGAGTGACTTCATAAATTACAAAATCTGGCAAAATGCAAAAATCCTATATGCATAAGATTTTAAAATGTAAATAATTAATACAAATAATTAACCGCAGACAACGCCAGCAAGCGATCTGGCTGTAAAAAGATTAAAAAAGGAACAGCTAAATAATTGAGTGCTATCAAATTGTCGATTTGAAAATAGAACGTTATCTTAGGTAGTGGTCTTCAGGCAGTCGTTGTAGTTTTGTGGCCTCTTTTAGGCACGTGCTTAAAGGCCTTTTGGTCTTCGCGGCCTCAGCCATCGCTGCGTGTACTGTCGTAGATTCAAGTGTACGCAGGTCTTTCGCCAGACCGAGCGCAGCCCATACTCGGATGAACGCAGTAGAACAACCAGAATCTGTGTACAGATATAGCAAGGTGTGATAGACGAGAAAAAATGTTATTTTATATTTAAGCATCATTGACATAACTTGGTGTTTTAACAAGCAGTCACGGACAGTAACAGACATGAAACCCGATGACAAGTGATTACTGTCTGGCAAGTGACTCTGCGTAGTAGCAGTTACGTTTTCAACCTTTATCAGCGACCATGTCTACCTAACCGAGCGAATGGAAAAAAAAACCAAAATTCTTAAAGAAGTCATAGTTCGTAATGCCCTATGCCGTGGCCTATTCTTCAAAATGTGAAGGTTTTGCATAACAACAAAACCTATATTGTAATCGCAATGTCATCCATGGTTATTGGTTAAAATAAGACCATATTTTTCGAGCTTACGTATGTTACGACTTACGACACATATAAGTTTATATATTATATCGTTACCACAACTGAGATTTCATAAATCGTTCCTTAAATTCCAGACAGTAACAGCTTTTGTGCCACTAGCTTATGTTAGTCATTGTTAATGTGACCACGAAAGTTTTAAGAGTATAATTTAAAAAAAAAGCACTTAATAGAGTCAATAAATAATTGTCAAACTTATGTTGTTACCATAAAATATTAGACTGTCGTTTAAGCCTAATAACCTTAGAAGTAGATGTAATAGAAGTTTTTTTAATATGGTATAGAAATAGATTTAGAATATATAGAGGTGAAACAAATTATGGGTTTCAATTTGTAGGTACGTACATAATTATATTGAATTTAGTGTGTAATTATTGTTCTTAAATGCTTGATTTTTATTACATTTATATCAACGGTAGAAAATAAGGTTTATGTATATATAAACCTTATTTTCTAATTATGTTCCTTTTAACCACTCAAATAAAAATTGTTAATTATTGAGAAAGCATTGCCATTTCATGAAAAGTTAAGGGAAATATTTGATACGAAGGAATTCAATATGTGGTTAAATAAAATATAATTAATAACTGCATAATAAGATACTCACCGTAGGTACCGTACTCTCCTGATTTGTAATCGCAGGGATTAAGATAGTGGTAATGAGGCCAAAATGATCGATTAAGGAAGAACACTAAATTGGAGTCGGAAGGGTACCTGCAATAAATAATAAATAACTATCAGACATAAAATATTGTTTGAAATTATTCAAAAATATTTAACTTTTCAGTCACCTGAAAACATATATATTTATAACAAAATGTATCTGATTTACTTTTTCTAAGTTGTCAAACTAGCTAGGAATTTATATTGATGACAAAGTCTCTTGAGGCTTGAGGATTACCTAAACAGCATTTTTTGGAATATGCATTAACTCCAAGCATCTTGGCTTATTAAATTGGATAATTTAGCTAAGAGATGAGGGCTAATTTTGCCATACGCAAGATCAGCTAATTACCGCGACAACAGATAGATTAGTTTATTATATATTTTCATAGCGATATGTGTGGTGTTTTATAGGTATTTAGGTTCAGCATCTAATTTAGACACAGTATTTGTATGGCAAAAGCAGGCTATACGAGCTTTTAAAGCAAATTCTAACTAACAAATTCTAAATACTCGAGACGGTAACGCGACTAAACAAAGCATAGTACATGTGACAAGTCAACACAATTTTACTTTTGTATTGAGTCTTCAGTGTTCAGTTTCAGTTCCGTTATTTTTAGTTTAAACTGGTTGAAAATATTTAAGGGTATAACATATATTGAAAAAACGTGTAATTTGTTACCGCTAAGTGATTATCAACTGCACTTTATACCATCAACCATTAAGTTTTTTCCGTTAATAGACTTTTCTTGTCGGTTAATACTTAGCAATTCGTGATATATATGGTATTACTAGCTTTTGCCCGCGACTACGTCTGCGTAGAATAGGTTGAAGGCGTAACATTCAGACAGAAAGACAGATATACATTAAATGTGTATATAAATTATAGTCTTATTCTGATTCTTATAGTCTTATTCTGATGTATAAGCTATATTATTGTAAAGTTTCATTAAAAGCCATTCAGTAGTTTTTGCGTGAAATTCAGCCATTCATACAAACTTTCGCATTTATAATTTTAGTAAGGATGAACGTCCTTAATTAGATAGTCCGAAATATTAATTAGATACTGACTTATCGCCGGGTGCTAGGCCCCAGATGCAGAAGCCGCTTTCGACAAGCCAAGAGGCGTGAAGGACTAGGGCGTAGCGCAGGAATCCTATGACGAATACGGCGCTAACCACCGAGTCGTCCCAATACTCTAAGGGCGCGTTCAGCGGTAGAAGGAGGAATAAAACTCCGTACAGCAGCCAGTAGAAGCTGAAAAATATTGGCTTATTAACTTTGTTGAACTTCTTCGTAAATAATTCGATTATAACTTAGATGTCAGTACGGTTGTTTTGTAATCCATATTTCATCTCACTTTTTTATTGACCGTTTAGCAAAAGGTGAATTTCTTTTTTTAAGCCCAAATGGAAAGTTTATTATTATGTTTTCGATATACATAGTCTGAAGACTATTGAAGCTTCATCCAAAATAGAAATGAACTCAGGTTGCTTTTGTATTGTAGGCTTATGGAAATTGCGCCACGTGATAAACTTTAATGATACCACATCGTTAGCGGTACGATACGCTTTACGCCTTGCTGATTGTGAAATAAAGAGCTCCTTTTATTTAACCCTAAGGGGGTACACAGAGAAGCTGACGTTATTAATACTTATCCGAGCTTAAGATTCGTAATTTCTAAGCCGTGAGTCAGATACCTTGCAGAAATGTACATGCGATTTGTGGATTTAATAAAAGGAAAACTTTTAATGCCATCGACCGGATTCAATGACGAGATTAAAGTAGCTTATTTCGTTTTTACAAACACAAAAAATTAACCTTATCTATGGTCGAGGGCATAACTCAAATGAGTATATTTAATAAATAATTAAAATTAACTTTAGACCTTTAGATTTATATAGTTCATTATGCTTACTTCTTTTGGAACATCACAATAGAATCCTTCTCAATATCGGACATATCGATTTGATCCTTCAGTTTCTCTTGATAAGGGCTAAGATTGCTAAGCCGCGTCAGTATGTGTGCGTAGAAAAAGCCTTTTTTGGGGTTGTATGGATCAAGATCGGTGTTGAAGAGCGAATGGTGTAACCTATGGTACTGAACCCAACTGTATATAGATCCCTGAAAAAGGGTTGGTAAAATAGTTACATGAAACACAATTAGCTCTTAACGGAATCCGCAACATTTCTTTATTCCATAAATGTTACGTATGAGGCAGTGTATTTAAGTTGTATCCCCGTCCAAATTTTCTACCCGGACTAACACACCGAAATTTTCTACCATTAAATACTTATTTAAAAAATTTACGCCAAAAATCTGATGGTAAACCAAGCTCGTTTTTTGGAATCTAATACAAAATAGAGAAACGGTTTTTGTTTTACAATCAAGCAATTAGGGTACTATTATTCGGTTATATATAAAAGATTTTTTTTTCAATGATCTAGTGCTCATGCCACAGAGCGCTGTGACAGCCAATGCCATTCTTTCGTGCAACCACTAGAGCTGCGAGTTAGTAATATTAATATGTAAGCTTCGATTAAAGCTGTATTTAATAGCACCAGAATTTATTACATATGTTAAGAGCACTATTAGGAAAGAAGAATGAATGAATGAAATGTTCAACCTACGGTTCATTAGTAAGCCAACACTTACCTGTCCCGCTAATGTTTGTAGAATCATCAAAAAGAACCGTAACTCCCTGCTTGCGGTGTATGTGCGGTGTGCCCAAAGTCTATGGGCCCCCGTGTTAACTCCCAATATTGCAAACGACGCAAGAATAACCACTGAAAAGTCCAGTAGTACGCATAAATGACAGCAACTCAACATTAACAACATATACATGATGTTGTTTAATCATAGTGTTTTATTGTAAATTTCCAGATTACGTATATGGTAAATATTTATTTTCATAATTAAGAGCATGGTATGATATTAGAATCGTTTTAATCGAACTAATAAATACGCCGTTCACATGAAAATTAAGTTCTCAATACATATTAATTGATAGAAATGCGGGCCACAACGAGAAACTAGCTTTAATACAGAAATACAACAGATAGTAACTTTCTTTTTATTATGTTATAATTACAATATATAAAAAATCTGCAAACTGTGTGATGTGATTAATTTTCCTAGTTACAAAATCTTCGTAATATGTGTAATACATGCTACGATTACGTAATATTTTTCTGGAATAAATTGAAAATAAAGTATCCAAAGCGTACTATTGGAGAACATAGTTGCTATATCATCAGTTTCGTGAACGATGATAGTCTGTAAGGTCAGACCTCTTGTAGCGATTTTTATTGTGTAACTTTGTTATGATAGATAACTGTAATTTAACACGTGCATACTCACACAATATCACTGTCATCCATTTTGCTTCGAAAAACAACAGCCAGATCCCATAGAGTGATAGCAGGTGGATGTGTATGAAGAACAGTACAGTGGGCCAGTTCGATTCCCGGCTTTTGCTTAGTTTTGACAGGTCTCCTGTTGGAGCAGAGTCTTTGGCCTCATCGGTGGTCTCCGTCATTTCTATTTATCCAAATTTCTATTTATTTTTTAATTTAATTGTAAAACTATTGCAAAACCTTTTATACAAGAAATATTAGTCCATTTAATAAAATTTTGAAATGTAAAAGAAAATAATAAAAAATCGTAAAAAAGAACTAGGAAATGGATAGCGTTTTCATTACAATGCTCCTCACCTTGACAACCCTTGTCACAACCGCAAAAAACACTTGAGATGTATATAATTCTATTATATATAATTGTCTGTATGCTGTCGCTACACATGCGAACACCAACATAAATTACAATGCATCGTTGTTCGATCACATCGGATACGTCGTAACTCCCTTGACAGCACAACCAACTAATGCGTGACGTTGCATTTTATGCTTAGTACATACAAGTTCGCAAGCACTCAAGTTACTTGTACGGATTGCATCACACGCCATTGCTTTGTATAGTAGCAATGACAATACATGCGATGAACATTTGCTTATTACTGTGAGAGTAGGTGGAAGTTGGAGATAATAGGAGAGCTATTGGGGGTTCTGAATCAATAAATCTTTGAATGTCACTATATATGGTAAAAGAAACCGTTACCAAATTTTAATAATGTAGTTATGATTCCGTATTAAAATTTTATACTTAATGCTAATGTTAATAACATACCTACCGTGTTTCAAACATTGTTAATTAAAAAAATCTGGCTAAGTCCGAATCGGACTCTAAGATTTCCGTACTATATAAACGGCAAAAAAATTATGTCTGTTGTATGGGAGCCCCAATATTTTTTTTAGTGTTTTTTGTTATAGCGGCAACAGAAATTCATCATCTGTAAACATTTTAACTGTCTAACTATCACGGACTGAGAAAACTAATTTATTATTTACGATATGAGTTCATTGAAAAAAATATTTTTATTTCTATATCATGAAAATCTTTTGCTAGTTACTTATGTAATTTTAGATGACCAGGAATGAGAAGAGTAACAGAGGCTGCCTTGACAGTTAGCATCAGTGTGACTTTGTTCGAACAATAAACACGACGACACACAAAATATTACCATATTTCAATCAATGTTAAAGGTTCGGGGTCGAGAAAGCTAATCACATGATAATTTAAAACGTTCCTATCAGAAGGTGTTCAATTGTAAATATATTTCATATGTACCTATACCTAGATACACATTTCGCGTTTTGGTTTGTTAATGGTATTTTTTATTGACCTTGAATAAATATTTAGTCATCGATGTTGATTGTAGTGACTTATTGAACAGAATACATAATGATAATTTCTTGTATTACACATACTAAATGAAATTAATTTTAAGGATTTATCGTGTTTATTTTCAGACGTTTCGATCCTATTTCAGAATTCACGCATCAGGTCGCGGGACAGGTTTAATTTAATTATGATCTTAATTAAGGACGGCTCGCCTCAAAAATTCTGTAATAATCGCTTCATATTATCGTCTCAAAAAACGGTTTGTCTAAAACGTTGGATCATGCAGAACTAGAAGTGAACTAATTTTAAATAAGCTGTCCGTACATGTTCATAAACATGCTTCTCTAAATTATTTAATATTTTAGTGGATTACAGGGAACGTACGTGGTTTCCTTCCAAATCAATGGTCAGATCATAGGTAACATTCATTCCGTTTAAAATGATGCTTGCATCAGATGCGTGGCCTACTAAAACGAGGTGGCCGAAATCGGTTTTTTTTTTTTGTTTTATCTTTTATTATTATGAAAATTATAAACTTTTTATATTATAAAAATAAAGATTATACTTATTTTTTTAAATAACATGCTTTAAATAATAGAAAATATGATTTAGGTAATAGAAATTTTTAACCAACGATTGATCGGCGAAATTCACAGGTTATATAATCAAACTTTTGTCAGGAGTTGATCAAAAACAATTGCTTCGAGAAAGTAGATTTTTTATTGATCGTCCGTTAATCAGGCATTAATTGCAAATCATTTTTATGTACAATTAATGATGTTGTCTTTAGACTTTATAGCAACTCAAATCATGTTACTCAATTAACAATATATTAATCGTAAATTAAAATTGATTTGTATGTTTTTAGGAGCAAACATTACGAATTATATATTTACGAAAACATTACGAATTTAATATACATATAATTAAATAAATATGAAGTGGTTTACGGAATCATAACAAAGATATAATAATTTTAATAATAGCATTCGTAAAAAACTCTCACGCCCACGAGACGCCCAACTTTTTCTTTACAACAATTGTGGTAAACGGTAGCAAACAGGGTTAGCAGAGGTGAAATATAATGATTTGACGAATTTCAAAAATTTATGACCTGTTTAGGTAATTTTCCTTAACAAAGCACTTTAAGTAAGGTATATTTAAGTTATAGAAAAATATATCCTGTTTTTACGTGAATATTATCGATATATGACAAAAAACTATTTTACCGATTTTATTGAGTTTTAATTTGTATTTTTAATTCCCAACGTTTTGAACCCTTTCCAGCGTTCATGGTAACGAGACAGACAATAGTAAAAAAATTGTTTCATTTAAATTAAAACATATCAAAATGCAGGCTTTAATCTTTAAAAAATAATGATAGTTGACTAAATAGTGGCTATTAAAATATAAAACAGGTTTTTCTGTTTTATAAAATAAAAAAAGAAAGCGGCACTTGTAGTGACAGATATCTGCATATAAAATGAGATTTAAGGAATAATAACTTTGATTTTTTATAATATATAATATAATACATAACATAATGGTAAAAGTCTAAACAAAAATCAACAAAACATCTTTAATAATACTAATTTATAAAATTATTGACTAATAAATTGTTTTTTTTTTTAAACGACCACCCCTTTGAATGTTTTTACAAAACTTTAGCTTGTACGTGATAAAATATTTTTTTACATTGGTTTTCGTTATTATATTTAGTTCGCAAAACACGGTCAATACACGTGCTTTTTACGTGACACGGAACATGATATGTTTAATCAACTATTAATATTCGTAAGTTTCACCTTTGAATAAACAATCATGGTATTATGCAACATCTATAGAACGGAAAGCAGTATTTAGAATTTTAAAATTATTTATCTTCGATGCTTTCAAATTTTACCAGGTTGAATAAATAGGACTCGTATTGAAATATACAGAGCGTCATATTTTGGCATTCAAAAACATGTAAATGCCTGATTAAATATCCTAGTTGTATAAAAATACGCACTTACTAAAAAAATAGGGAACGTGGTCTTCTGCTTTGTTTGTCGTCCTTTCAATGACTGGCCGATACTGGGGTATATTATTAGCACGTATTTAATATTCATGAGGAGTACTTTCTGAACCTAATTCCAACGATATTGTTAAATTACGGTAAATTGTTTAGAACGTTATCATTTGCATAAAAGCCCGGTTTAACAGTATTATAAGTCAATACGGCTTATAGTGTAACTCTAATAGTGTATAAAATCTAAAATAAATTTTCGATACTTAATACATTTTGAAAATAGTCAAAGTTGTCCTAATAGTTAAGAACTACCTATGTTTCTTAAAGGTAAACATTTTTATTTATTTTATTTTATTTGGTTTACCACCAATTGTTACATTTATACATTAATTAGAAGAAGAAGACAGTATATTTCTATAGCTAAATGCACGATTAAAGGTAAACGCAACATGCGAAAACATTGTAATTGGCGGAAATAGGTAGGGTGGCGAGTAGTAAGTTGATTGAGATTTCTATCTGTTTAAAAGAGCGCCGTGTCATCCGCGAAAAACACGAGATTGACGTGAGGTTCTTTTGATATATCGTTGGCGTAGAGCATAAAAAGCAAATGGGAGAGGCCGGAGCCTTGAGGAACGCCTTCCGTAAGAAGGCGGCTCGTAGAGAGAGTGCCTCGGTATTAAAAGGAGCGATTTGACAGGATGGTGGATGTTGTGTATGAGCCTGTCTGACACGTTGAGTGCGAATAGATTGTAAAGCAAGCCGCTCAGACCTTGTCGAATGCCTTTACAACATCGAAGAAAAGAGACCCCATGTTTATGTGCTTGGGGTTATTTAGGCCTTTCAGCATGTGTTCCGTCCTGTTTAAATAATAATGAAAGTACCGAATAATATCTAGAAGAATTATATTGTTTAATGAAAGTTTCTGTACTATTACTCAAAGATTGTTACAGCTAAAGTATGTATGTCGATTTTATACATACTGGCGTTACTAACGTGACCATAAATCAACACACATATAGAGGATAACTTTTTAAAATTTTATTAACCACTTACTTTCTTTATACATCAACAATATTTACCTTTTAATTTTTCAAATCAAATAATTTTAGAAAACCCGTACGTATAAAAATGTAACATTAAGTGGATTTGTAAAGGTTACAAAGCATATGAATATTAGATGAATTTAAAAGAGATAAATCATACTTTTAGGAGAGACTTGTAATGTGGCGTAGTGGCAACGAATGAAAAAGTCTCTGAATGTATGAATCAATTCATTTGTAGTTTTATAGGATGTTACAAATTTTGTTTCTTTTTTATTTAATTAGTTTGTTAGAAAATTATTATTATTTTTAATTCTGGATTTCTTTATCGTTTATATTTTTTATATGATTATTGGCAAGAAGCGTTTGAAGTGCCTTCATTTATTGTCGCGATTGTAACGCCATGCTCTAGGATATAGACACTATAGAGTCTATTATATCATTATATCGAAAAATAGGGAGTTCTATAAGGAATCGTCCTTATAGAAATCTCTATTTTTCGATATAATGGCCTTTTAATGATTTAGAGCAACAATCGAAAAGAAGGGCTTTTATTTAAGATTTTCTTGCTTGAATAAGCTTAATCGGAGAAATACGGAAGGCCATCGTGAAGTAAAAGTAAATACTTTTTACTTCACTCTTCATTATGTGAGTGACATAGCCAGCTCCGGCACTTATTCGTTTTTCAAGTCTGAAAAAACTTTTAATCGATAGAGAAATGTTAATAATGTAATATTATACAAGTTAAAACCCATGAAAATGCTTGCTTTTAATTAAAAAAAAAAATAAACGTTATTTTCGATAAGAAAGTCCAGCTTTGTATTAATTTGACTTCAAAAACATGAATACACAGTACATCCAACATGATAAGTAAAGGAAGCGGGTCATACTCGTATCCATTGTAAAATCGATATTTTTTTAATTAAATTAGTCACAGATCCGACACGGATCAGTTCTACTTTACGCCGGTCTTCGGTTTGGTCGTGGTACTAATCCGGAAGGACCTGCCCATTCGTGCAACAGCGAATACTGTGGCATGGTCCTACCACAGTTAAACTTTTTCCATATCATAATTGATTATTGATATTTTATACTAAAATAATCATAACTTAAAATGATTATTTATCTTAAGCTAACTATTACAGAGTATTATTGTATAATAATTATTAGCTTTTACCGTGATACTTGTGCCGTACAATAAAAATAATGTTGTCTATGTTTAAGTCAAGTCATAATGGTCTCTATCATAAATATGAGGCTTCTTTGTTAGCATTTTCAAAGCCTTTAATAATGAAGTTATTGTTATTTCAATTCTCATCGTAATAAATTACGTAAGATTAATAAATGCAAATTTTATAAAGTTACTGTGAAATCCAGCAAATGGAACACCGAGCCAGTAGTTACGTCGTTACTAGTAGTAACTAGTAACTTCACCACCCTACCCTAAGTTTTTATAGTGCTAATCTGTGCGCTTAAGATGAAACATTAATATTTGTAGAAAAAAGGACGAAAAATTTTTCGCCACTGCGGGATCTGTACTCACGTCTTATGGATTCACGTTCCGATACTTTAACCACTAAGCTAAACTTCTGATTGCCTCATCGACAAAAATGTCAAAGTTATTATCTACATCGTTTTTTTTCATGGCGCATCAATTATTATCTCCTTTACAGCATACCAACAGTTTCAAATATCGTTTTACAATGATAATTTCGATGTCACTGTTATATGAATTTGTAATGATTTCTGCACTGAAGATGAAACATTTAAAATGTCTGGACGTAAAAAAGTAAAGTAACAGCCAATACATGTCCCACTGCTGGGCAAAGGCCTCCTCTATACAGAGGGTATCAGGGCATTGTCCACCACGCGGCCCCACTGCGGATTGGCGGACTTCTCATATTTTCGAAATATATATTTTTTTTATTATTTCGAAAATATGTAGGTTTCCTCACGATGTTTTCCTTCACCGCGGAGCACGTGATAAGTCAGCACTTAAAGTTAAAAACTTCATTGGTGCCGACACCGGGGATCGAACTCAGGTTGCTCGAGTATATTGAATTAAAGGCGAGCGCCCGGACACTGAGCTATCACGGCTCTGGACGTGAATTCTACTAACTTTTAAATGAAAATAAATCTGGTTCTAAATATGTTTATGTTTTTATCAGCTTTCTGTAATAAGTTTGTACAGTATTTATTTATTTTACAAGCTTTTATTTTGTTTCACCTGCCCCGATGTTTGTCATCAAAGCATATTAAATTTGATCCACTTGACTTGGTTATCGATTCAGCTGAAATTTTATATCCATGTGTTAATCGCTTCACAATGCAATATTACGATTACATAGTGCTGATTTTATGATTCGTCTTGACGAGTACTTTATTAAACGTGAAAACTTAACATCATGTATAACATTTTTGCGTTTTTATCACATTTTTATAAATAAAAGCGTATTACATTTCGATGGAACACTAAATAACATAACTTAGCACAATTACACCTTCATTATTTTCTCTTGTAATCATAAATATAATGATATTTTTCTTATTAGGTTTTATTTAGAATTTTTAAATGTTTAGTTCTTTTTATTAACAAGAAAATAATAGAACATGGTTTAGAATATGGTGAAGTATGTAGAGAGCGAGAATCCACTTGACGCTAGTCTTCTGTGAGGTCTTGCGTGGTTCTTCCACCGGTAAATACAAAATAAGTTGTAGTGTAATTGTTTATACTCCATTGACTCGATGATTTATTTTGGACCGATGAGGCCGATGGTAATTTGGTCCAATTCGGGCGGATCTTAAAATGACACCGGCTACATATTGTTTTATGGAATGGAGTGATATGCAGTCATAAGGAACAGGGGAGATGTGACAATGAGGATACTGGGTAGACAATCACAATTTTTCTCCACCTTTTACGGGTAACCTCTGTCCATCTCATCGTCTTTCGGGCGAAAATGTTCATGTTTATGTATGATATAGAACATGGCGTGTAATGTATGGTTCGCCAACTATAAAATAATGTACGCCATACGCCACGCTATAGTTTAACGGAGAGGTCAGGTGACTGGACAGGTAGGTCAGCGCCCCCCTCCGACCGGGTTCTCGCCTTGACGTGGCGGAGGAGCTTAGTGCCGTGGCTTGGTCACCCACGGTGAAGCTAAGAGGAACCCACTCGGAGCGGCCTGTGGTGTAAGGCCGGCCCGAGAGCCGCTCCGAGTGGGCTCATTGAGCCCACTCTAGATGCGTGGATGCAGGAGACAGGTAGAGGGTGGTGGAGGAAACTCACTCTCCCTGTCTTCTGCTACCGAGGAGGAGTCGCGGGAGTGTGCGAAAGGAAGGATATGCGCCTAGGTAGAACATTATGGGGTTTTAGCCGGTGCGAGTCCGACATAACCCACTCTTGCCCCCGCGAGGGCGGGTACGCGTAGGCATTTTCCCCACAAAACAAAAAAAAAAGAAAAGAAAAGGTAGGTCAGCGCAGGCCAACCGGAGCGTGTGTGGGAATAGACCTGTGCAGTTTATCGAATCTGCGCAGGCGACCGTCGCAACGTCTAACTGTGGTAGGACAACGCAACAGTATTGGCTGTTGCACGAATGGGCACGTACGTCCGGATTAGTATCACGACCTCACAGAAGAACGGCGTAAAGTAGACGTGTTACACTTCTGCGTTTCGTCTGGTGAGTGAGGTAGCAGGGGTCCACCTTATTAAAAGGTGGCAATAAATCTGCACCGGCGTTGCATATGTCCGTGGGCGGTGGTTATCACTTAACATCAGGTGAACCGCCAGCTAGTTTGCCACTTTATGACATAAAAAAAATCGAACCATGTGGGTACCGTTCGCTTGGGCAGGCTGAGTTAAAAGTTTCTGAAGTCTGTCCCAAACAGACGTCGCGTCTTCCAAATAATATCTTCTAAGAACTTTACGGCCAAGGCCACACATGCTTCTGGAATAATTTTTTTAACCCATGTGAAATAATTGTTGAAAATTTTAGGTCCTCCGGTAATACCTCAGCCTACCTCATTAACACCTGCCGTTTGCGTGAAATCTCAAAGTAACTGATATTCTTTCGAGCGTAAAAATACTTTTTTCTCATAATTGTATCTTTTTTTATTATGACAAATAGTTTTTAAAATGTTCAGACACGAATTTTAGTTCACTCAATAAGTTAATATGAGTATAAATTTTCCGTTTCGACAACAAATGCTTACACCATTTTTATCGCTTCCTTTTAACTGTTTTCGTATCTTTTTTCTTCAAAATTAAAATGGTTAACACGAGCAGGCAAACTTGCACAGGTAACATCTACGGTAGACCGTAGCGTGTATGGCGTACATTCCACCTGGTCTGATAATCCTCTTAAGAACTAAAAAAGAATCAAAAATCGATAAAATTATTGCTTTATTTGTTTCAAAATAGCACATATATCATTAACGTATTACGTGTGCTATTTCTGAAGCAGAACAGCACGCTTACATAACATTCATAAAAATACATTTTACAAAGTTTATAACATATTTTATAACATTCATAAAAATATATTACACAACTTTTTAAGTGTATATTAATGTGGAAAATTGACAAGCAAGCCACTAGATTCCTTACCTTATATATATTTTTTATTACTGCGGTACGTGACAGATAGCAGTTACATTGCCAGTCATTAAAAAAGAGGGCCCGGTTACCTCGCTCACGAGATGAAATGCGTCAGTATAATACTTCAAACTGGTCTCTTGTGAGACCCTGCTAATTCCCCGGACGAGTCTGCACATTCGTGCAACAGCAAAAGTTGCTGCGTGGCTCTACTATAGTTCAAGAGTTAATAAGCATCGATCTTTATGTGGATTAGCATTTCTATTATGATACCTGACTAGAAATGATATCGTCAAATATTTTGTCTTGTAGAATTACTTATCAAATTAACCAGCGACTATCTTTATTTTTTTTCTATTTGGTATAATTGCGCAATCTTTCTTGGTTATTGCAATCGATAATGGCCTTTGACCTTTATCTCGGTCAAAATAAATTACTTGTTTGGTGCAATCCACCCTTAATAGCGACTAAAATTATTAAGAATGGTACTTTAACGAACTAATGTATCAGCCTATACATATCCCACTGCTGATCAATGGCCTATGTACAGAGGCCGTCCACCACACGGCCCCTCTGCGGATTGGCGGATTTCACATATCTTAGAAATATTTTTATTTTATTATTTCGAAAAGATGCAGGATTCCTCAAGATGTTTTCCTTCACCACTGAGCACGTATTAATTTAGCACTACACTACACTCAATAGTCTATACATCTGTATAAACGAGCCTGCTTAGTAGTGCTTAGTACTACTGACAGGCAAGTAAGAAGCTTGCCAAAAGAATATTTTGACAAAGTAGTATTCATCTTGTGCGTTTCATCTGTGAGTGAGTTTCTCGGTTCTTCTCTCGTCTGGTTTTGTTTAGTGAACCAGTGGTAGTTTAGCTTAAAATCAGCCTATATTGAATAAAGAAATTTAGGCTTTGGGTTGATTTCGGATGTTCTTTTAAACATATGTTGTGCAACCTCGCCTCTTAGCAAATTTCACGATTCTATGTCAACGGGAAATACCTTATAGGTTTTGAGTGACCGTGAGTATCAAATACGCGACATTATCGGCCTTTTGAGTTTTCAGAAATAAGATAAAAAAAATAAAAAGTATTGTTACAATTGAGAATTCTTCATATAATACGAAGACCAATTTTCTTTCAATTATCAATTGTTCAATTCGTTTTCTTTAGATTTTTCTGTTATAAGAACGTAACACACTTTGTCAGGATTGTCCAGAACATTTGTTATGTATGGGAAGTCGATTCTGTAATTTTCATCGCAAGTTTGTTTTATTTTTAAATTGTTCCATGCGCGTTAAAACTAATATTCCCATTCACACATTATAATTGTATATATTGTAACGTTCTACAAACATATAATGCTTATGACACGAGAAAACAAACCTAATGTATACTATAATTATTTTATAATGTAATTACACAAGATTTATTAACATATATTTAACATTCATAAAAATTATATTGAACATCAGTCATATTAATTATATACAAATGTAGTCACCATATACTATTTGAGCAAAAGTATTGTTAGTATTGAAATATACAAAAATAATTGTATTTGTATCATTTTGGAAAAAAATAGCGTTTTTCCCCGATCATTTAATGATTTTTTTTTACAAATTTGGGCGGCAGAAAGAACTAACCATAACTGGTGTAATTAATGTACATTTTCCTAAATGTCACAACAGTGTATACATATTAAATGAAACTAGTTTAAGGATTTTATCGCGTTTTAATTTTGATTTGTAAGTCCTGGTCGTGGAATTACAAATCAAATTTAAAACGCGATAAATTCATTTAATAATTTTTTATTTAGCCTGTTGAATTGGGTGAGAGATTAAATATTTATGGCTGTATTGTTCGTTGGGCTATAGGATGTCTCTCAACCCAGTGTGCCTTTTGGTAAAGGCCTCCTCTAGTAGTTTCCATTGCTTCCTGTCTTGAGCAACTCTCCTCCATTTGGGTCCCGCAGAAGTTTCAGCTCATCTTCCCAGCGCATTAGTCGTCGTCCCCAATGTCTCTTACCATCTCTTGGATACCAATTTGTTGTAATTTGACTCCACTTTTCTTGTGTAGATCTCAATATATGGCCGGTCCATCTTCATTTTTGGAGGTCTATTTTTTCCAGGATAACGGGTAATTTGGTTTTAGCTCTTAATTTCACATTGCTAATTTTATCTAGCCTTTTTGTTCCTGCCATGCTTCGTTCCATACCTCTCTGGCACTTTGTCAGTTTCTCTCTATGGTATTTTGTAAGAGACCATGTTTCGCAGCCGTAAGTGATGCATGGTAAGAATACAAGCGTTTAATACTTTTATTTTCGTTCCCATATTGTGATCTTTAGATTTTACAATTTCCTCGAGAGACCAGTATCTTTTCCACCCATTAGCAATCCTCTTATTAATTTTTTTTGGTTGTTTGGTCTTTAGGTGAGATGATCTGGCTCAAGTAGCAATACTCATCGACATATTCTATTTGATGTCCTTGAATTTCAATGGGTTCCATTTTTGAGTTGGTCATCAGTTTCGTTTTTGTTATGTTAATTTCTAAACCCACTTTAGAGTTCCCAGTACTTAGAGTTTGAATAATCTTCTCGAGTGCATTTGGACTCTCTTCTAGTAAAACCAGATTGTCTGCAAATCTTAAATGGTTTAGTTTTCTTCCGTCCTGTTGAGGCCTAGATGTTCCCAGTCAAGGTTGCGAAAGACGTTTTCTAAAACTGCTGAAAACAACTTAGGACATTGGATCTCCTTGTCTAACTCGCTTGATCCGAAATTCTTCGCCCAAAGCTTCTAATTGATTTTTTAATTTAGGTTTACTGTTTGTAGATATAATTTTGATAGTGTTAATATATATTGCAGGTATACCTTGCTTTTCTAAGCTCTCCCATAATGCCTTATGACTAATGCAGTCGAACGCTATAAAAGCTAAATATAATGCTTTGTTGTATTCGTTATACTTCTCAATTATCTGTTTGAGTGTGTGGATGTGGTCTATCTTTGAAAAGTTCCGTTTAAAACCGGCTTGTTCCATTGCCCAAAATGATCCTTGCGAATATTTTGTACACATTCGACATTAGGCTTATTGGCCGGTAGTTCCCGATGTCGTCCTTTGCGTCTTTATTGTGTAATAGGATTATATATGAAGTTTCCTATTGTGCTGGTATATATCCACTTTTCAAAATTAGGTTGAACATCTTAGTAAGTATTGGTACTAATTCTTAAATGGCCCCTCTCAACATCTCGTTTGTAATTTTGTCCGGGCCAGGTGCCTTCTCCATTTTTTGACTTTTTATTGCCTTTTCCACTTCACTCTTCAAAATATCCGGTTCCCACTCTGACAGGCTGTCTGCTGTTTTACTGTTCAATGGTTGTGTAATAGGGTGCCTATGTGCGGATTTATTTGCATATAGTTCTTTGTAGAATTCCGTGGCCAGTTTGTGGATACCTTTCCTGTTTGTGATAGTATCTTCTTTTTTCCTAAGTTTAGGCACCCACTCTTTTCCTGTTTCCTTAAGTTCTTTCAGAGCTTTTTTTACACCACCTGTTCTCATTATTTGACTCTCTAACACTTTTAGTCTTTTCTTTTTGCGGTCTCTTCTAATATATTTATTTGCTGATTTCTGTAATTATCTTTATGTTTTCTTTGTTTTTTCCTTGAGCCAGTAAAGATTTTATGCGATTTATGAGTTGGATTGTATTATCGCTGAGTGGACATTTGCTTTAGTTTTTGTTGGTATTTTTAGTGATCGTAAGTTGTTTTTCCAATTTCCCATAATTTGCTTTGATATCGCATTCATTTTCGTACGTCAGCTATTGTAGATTATCTGTTAGCGACTGGTCAATTTCTTTGAAACTCTCCATGGAGATTTGAGTTGGACTATAAGTGGTAATGTTCTTCCTTGCTCTTTTTGGTGGTGCTGGCAGAATTGTACCTCTGACCATTCATGATCTGTGTTAAAATTGAGTTGTGAGATCACGCTTGTATTTGAAAATGCTTTGAGAAAATTGCTTATTATATAATCTATTTCATTTTTACATCTACCATCTGGTGAAATCTAAGTCCATTTATTCTTTGGGCTTTTTTTGAATTAAAAAAATCATTTAATAAATTTCATGTAATATATAGCAACGGTGGTTTTCTTTAAGCTTATGTCTAACATTCATACACTTAACTTCGTTTTATAATTTAAAATTTGTAGAAAAATGGAAGAAAAATTCTTCGCTACGAGGACTTGGACCTGCGTCCTGCGGGTTGCGAGCCTGACGCTTTAGCCACTGGCCTAAATGGCCTATCTTCACACTGACGAAAATATTAACGTATTTGCTTGAGAATGCTATAACGAATTAAGAATTTAACCTGCATATTTGAAAATTCCCTGTTTTAATTTAAGAAATCTATTATCACACTCACTCACATAGTGTATTTACGAATTTAACTGTTGTGTTTATTTTAATTATTATAATTATTTACATTTTAAATCTAAAAATATATTATTCATCTAGCCTGTAAATGTAACTCATAGACAAAAATTGTTGTTTTTTTTGATTATAGTTCAGTACCCGTGGATTACAAGGTATTATTAGAAGCATTACTAGTAATTAATTTAATAACTATATAGATAATATAGATAATTATTATTAATTATTATTATTATTACGTATTCGGCTATATGGACTCTACCACAATGCATTATGGCATTAAGCCGTAAATTCCGCTAGCACATTTTCCAAAGCTGCGTAGCTTTGGTATTGTCACTTTCTCTGTGTTTTCATTTTTAAGTCATCTCATTGATGTTGAGATTCGTTTATGTGTCTTAGTTCCAATTCCGTCAGAGGCACTGTCAATTTTTTTGTATTTTTGCAACTGGGACAGAATTCTCTTTCCGTATATCTTGTTCCTCTCTCCGTTGCTTCGAAACTTCTGGATTTTAACGATCGGTTGCCGAAAGACTTGTCTGAAAATTAAAAAAAAAAACGTGTGAATCAATCTAAACATCCAAAATCAGTGAGTTTTATATTATTGTACATTGTTTCAAATAACTATTGAATTATTTATACTTTAGCGTAAAGAGTCGTTTTTTTATGTGAAAAGTTGCCAAGCGAGCAGGCGGTTCACTTGATGTTAAGTGAATACTGCCCCCCATGGACATCTGCTACACCTGAGGGTTGCATATGCGTTTTGAAAATTGGGCTCCGGCTACCTCACTCACCAGACGAAACGCGAAAGTATTACACTTCCACTTGACGCCGGTCTTCTGTGAGGTCGTAGTATATTACGTTAAAATGTTTTTACACATTTATCTTTCCAGTCATATTTTTTTAAATACTTAAATATAACTTGAAACACTATTACTACTAAAAGAGAATAGAATCTCATTCTTTATAGAAATGTAATTCAATCTGTTCGGTACCTATGTCATTAAGTATGTAATTTAGTTAGGCTTAGTATTCTGTAAACTCCTATATATATCGCCGTTAAAAGGTAATCTGTTAGAAAGTATGGGATCCCTTGTTTATCGCTAGTCAGTTAAATGTCATATTAGCTACAGTTATTTGTTAAATTAGTTCTTTGTATCATAATTAATATGCAAATATAAAAAAACATACGATGTTTACGATACAAAAGAAAGTTGATACGTGTGGCCATGAAACAATTTGAATAAGTAGTTTTTAGGTTATATGGAACTAAATGATCTTATTTCTGCCGTTTCTTTTCAGGACAGGCAACCACGAGGACTATTGGTTCTCTTGTTAAGTCCAGACAGTGAAGCATCTTTTTCTTCTGTCTGTATCTGGCACAATAGTGGCAATTAGAGACAGTTTACGGTAGATTTTCATATACAGTCTACGTCTAATGCCTTCACCAGAACCAAAAACTATATCAGTTATTTGTACCATAAAAGTGACAAGGTTCCATTTTGCTGAAGAAGAATCAAAGAAAGCATAAAATAAAAGAAAAATAGCAATGCAAATGATAATTTTTTATAAAAAATGTAAACAAATTAATGTAAGCATTGAACGCATACGATGTATGACCATGTATGTTGACCGAGCCGAAAAATGCTTCAATGCATACGAAGCCACACCCATTCACGGCTAAAAATTGTATGAAAACAATAGAAAACAGTTCAATTAACTATTCACATATTTCAAAAAATAAGTTAAAATTATACAATAATTTGTCACCGAAGAAGTAAACAGTCAAGCGAAGAAGATATTTTAATTTAGGTACAAGATCATGAAGCCGCAAAATCGTAGAATAATAAGCGCAATATGCAAATTGAGTTATAACAATGTATTAAGTTGAATCAATTTTTATATCATGTAGAACTAAAAATTGATTCAACTTTAGTTTCAAATGAGGTACCAAACTTGTTATTAACAAAAGAGAACTTAAGAGGAAAAGTGTATCTGAATGGAGTACATTAATGCGTGGTGAGATAGAGTTAAAATTTTGAGTAAAGGTATTTTTACAGGAAATAGAAATATGTGCGGGAAAGAAAAATTCACAATCGGAATTGTTTTAAGCGCGACCGACATTTTTTGTTTAAGAATATAGCAAAAAAATGATGTAGTGAATGTAATAAAGTGACGGCTTTTCTTAGTGTAACATAAAACGTTTAATTTTTTTTATGCAAAGGCGTAACCGGTGATTTTTTATTTGCAAAAATGTTCGGTTACTTTTCTCTATCGTTTAAAAAGATTTTCAAGTGACAAACAAGAATGTGGCTATTACAAAATGTTATCACGATCACGAAGAATATGTGAAGTAATTGTTTTTTTTCAAATACTACTTAACTTTTGAGTGTTTTTCTCAGTTGGGGTTGAGTTCCGCGCACAGATGTCGGTCATTTTCGAATAATGCAAATGTTATCCAAGTATAGACAAGTTCGTTTCGATAGTTTTAGGTAAAATCTCAATGCATATAAACAGTTTCAATCGTTTTTACATCACTCGATGGGAAAAAATGTAGAGACCATATTTGGCTTGATGTGCGGTAGAGGTAAAAATTGTTCTGGAATACAAATCAAACGTTATACTAACAATAAGAAAATCAAAATTTCGGATTATTTCTAGTGTAATTAACCTACCTGAAGTACCTAAGTGCCTAAGTACCTGGAGGGCCGAGCTTTGCTCGGTTTGTTTTTTTTTTGTAAATCGTGTATTTTGGAAATTACATTTAGATACAAATTACTGAGTAATGAAATATGCATAATATTTTTCGATCTTACCGACCTAATAATAAGTCAATACCGTTATATTTGTTGGCTTTGTGTTTTAATTATAATTATTGAACGCTCACCTGAGTTTTTGGTACCATTAGAAGTAGTTCTCTGTGAAAGAGGCATTGCCGTATAAAAGTTGCGCTTGTTGTTTGTACTGTCTTTACTCCGACAACAAGAATGCGACATCGAGTTCTGAAAATGTAGATAATATAGTTGAGAATAATTGTTTTGTAATTATTTAAATATTTCAAATAATAAAATGAATTATGAAAAAATAATCTTTTTTGTGAAATAATACGTAAATATAAATATAATAAAGTACATTAAAATAAATAATATAAGAGGGCGATTGCGAGTTTTGGGCAAATTACTAATTCCTCTTCCATACAGTAATATAAAAAATAATCTATAATTCAATAATAAAACGTCTAATTTTAAATTACTTTAAGATCAGAAAAAAACGTCGAATATTTGACATAAAGGTACCTAATATTAATAACATAGTTACCTTAAATGCGTCTCGAAACTTGTTCGACATGATGTGATAGAAAATTGGGTTTATACAAGTAGACATGTAGTAAAATACTCCTGAGATGTACGTTAGAGAAGAATATATCGCAAGGAGGGTGGGCGATTTTGCAAGATGGTCTTCCCTCGTTCCGTATATTGCGACCAGCCTCTGGGCGTGGAATGGCGCCCAGCACACGAAGAACGCGACTACCACAGCGACTGTTAAAGACAAAAGCTTAGTGTGAAAACAATACATCTAGTTCAAACTAACTTTTACATATAGTTTTTGCCATCAATACAATCCATAGCTTCGTAAATCACGATCGGTGCAGAAAACTTTAAGATGAATCCAGCATCTCCCTAATTAAGTGATTATTATTTGATATAATGGACATTGCAAACATTCAGTCAACTCCCTCCTTGTTAACTTTTACTTTCTCTTCCATGTAACATCACAATCATCTTCATAAACAAAAAAAAAACAGCTAGGAATAACTCTAAGGAAGATAGTAAAAGAAGCGATAAGTCCGTAAATTTGGGATCAATGGAATCAGGATTACCATTGATTCCAAATTTCTCGAAAGAAGTGCCATTTATTCCTACGCTCAGAACATGTCTCAGACAAAAATGTTTTGCTATAAAGTATTTGAAACTTTTTTTCAAATTTATTAATTAATACTAGTTTCCGAATCTGTTTTAAATAAAAATGGAAGGGGAAGTGCTTCTAAACTTACCCAACATTTTGATGACTCTTTTCGTTGATTGATGATTCTTTTGGCGTACTTTATCTATTGAGTACAAATATCTGGCTACATGTTGGCGTTGTTGATTATTTCTTTCAATCTGAGTTCTCTTCAACCTTAATCCTATTAAAGAATATAAACCGGTGATAGCTATCATTGGAGTAAAGAAGAAAAAAAATGTAGAAATCTCAAAAGAATGAGGTATTATAATCCGTGTCTGAAGACACATAATGACTCCTTGGTGATTTCGTAGTCCAAACTGTAAGGCTAATGGCAAAGCCAGTATGAAAGAAGCAATCCACAGAAGAAGTACATGCCTTATTGCTCGTGACAATTTTGACATTTTATGGGATATAAATGGATGACATATTGCTAAATACCGCTCTATGGTAAATAATGTTATTGTTAGAACACTGGCATTGGTTGATGTCTCTGCGGCTAAACCGCGTATGACACAAAAAGATTGTCCAAATATATATGGCCATTTTGACCAAATGGAGTAGGCCTCTTGTGGCATGCCACTTACTAATAAAAGAAGATCAGAAATCGCTAGACTAAATAAGTAGTAGTTTGTTGCTGTGCGTAAAGTTTTATTTCGTACAATGACTATGCAGGTAAAAATGTTTCCTATTATCCCTGTAACAAATATCATTGTATAGATAATTGTAATTGGTATTACTATCAATAAAGAATCACGTTGAGGTCCAAAGACATGTGTAGGGTCTACAGACCCTACAAAGGAGTTGTTTAGAGTAAAGTTTGAGGCATTAAACATTTGACTCATTATGTTCGATTTTGTTCTTTCATTTATTCAATGTTTGATGGATGAATTTTTTTCATCTTGAAACCACCGAAGAAATTTTCTCTTCTTGTGTCACCAGACATCTGTAAAAAGAAGGAAAATTTATTACACAACCTTAGTGAGGCAAAAATGTTGGAAAATCCAAAAATGCAACACAGACCTACACTAACACAAACATTTGTTATTCATAATAGGTCATTTCATTATTCTTAAGTTTTGATTGGCTATGAATGCATAATTCAAATCAATTTTGTTTGAAAAACATAAAATTCTTTATACAAAGGCAGACTTTGGTTTATTGATAAACTTTGTATTTTAATTAAATTTGATTTTTTTTTGTCATAATGGATACTTTAAGAATTCGTGTAATTATAGTGGGAATGAGTTCCGTCATGGCACCAACGTGGCACCATCAACGTTTATGGAGAGAACTTTACAAACGAACGCACAGCCCGTTCTTGGTTTGCCCTATTCCGTTCTGGAAATTTCGACTTGAAAAATGACCCTCGTTCAGACAGTTTGGTTAACAATAATGAATTAAAGGCGATTATGAAAGCTGATGATGATACTCATTCTACATCCGAGTTAGCAGCAGCTTTGGATGTTAGCATCAAAACAATATTGACCCATTTGCTACAAGTTAACAAGGTAAAAAAACCTTGATTGATACACTAGTGCCCTCCGAACTTAACTATCGTATCGAGAGTTGGCATTGGAGGCTCTCCCTCATTCGTTATACGCAGCAGACCTTGCACCTTTTGTCTATATTGACTATTACTTTTTTACAAAATTTGGACAACTTTTTAGCGGGAAAAATTCAATTCCCGAGAAGCAATATAAAATGCCTTTGATTTGATCAAATGTTGCCAGCAGATTTTTACACGAAGGACTTCCATAAGCTACCACTATGTTGGTAAGGATGCACCGATTGTATGGGTGATTACTTTGAACAAAAGGATTAAAAAAGTTAAAAAAAATACTTAACTTATTTCATACAAAATGGCAATTTCATATGTCAAGACCTAATATTTACTTTTCTCGACTCTAAATTTATCATTTATTTTAAATTCGGTTATGGGTTAAATTAAAAGCGAGTCTAAAAAATCTTTTAAGTATAATCATCTCAGTAAGAAATATAATGTTAATTGATTAAAATGAAATGAAATTAAACGACTCAAAAACAAACAGCCTTAATATATTTTTGCTCGGCTCAGTATTAAGTCGCAATCTTCTACATTTATACTACATGAATTGTAAAGCAAGTTAGTAACATACACTGGAAATCATGTTTTGGAATAATCCAGTGTGGAATCAATCTATTTGTTACTATAACGTAAGCAGTATTGTTAGCGCAGTGTTTTAGTGGCACACTGTGATCGTTGGAGTGATATATTGCGTAACAACTGTTATTAGTTTGAAATTAGATTTCAGCATTTAATTATTGAAAGCACGTACGAGCTACTTACTATATCTTAAATAAGTACATATGCACTTATCTATAATATACACATATCTATAATATTATAGGTATGTGGCCACTTAGAAACTAGAAAAATACTGTGCCCATCACACAATATTTTCACAGGAGTTCGAACCCACATCGTTTGGCGCAACAGACAATATTCCTCTTCACGACGCCAATCGTGTCTTAAAATTATAAAGACGAAAACTTGTAGCGTTTTATAGACATGCTTTTATCAAAACATACTTTTCTTTTGTAAATAAATACAACTACACTAAATATCAATTATATAAAATTCTCGTGTCACGGTGTTTGTAATTGAACGCCTCCGAAACGGCTCGACCGATTTTTGTGAAATTTTGTGTGCATATCGGCCAGGGTAGAGAATCGGAAAACATCTATTTTTCATCCCCTTAAATGTTAAGGGTGGTCCACCCCAAACATTTTTTTCTACCCTATAAAGTACTTATACGGCAAAACAACGTTTGCCGGGTCAGCTAGTATTTGTATAAATATATAATAATAAAGATCCAGACACTAGAAAAACACTATGTTCATCACACAATATTTTTCCAGAGGTTCGAACCTATGCCCTCTGGCGCAAGAGACCCACTACGCCAATCGGGTCTTCAAATACGTTTGACGAAATTTTATACAAAACGATTTTATTCATGAGAATCCATGTTATTATGTAATTTAGTTAGCATTACCCAGGTTACCTATTATCACCACCATTTGTAAAATTACATTAGAATAATGAACTGTTATTGAATGAAGTCCGTTGTCTCAAATGTTCTTCTAATGTTAATAAACTACGAATGCAAATAGATATTTGCCAAAACATTTTCCATTCAGTATATGTATTATGTATGAGTATGTACACTTTTTTAGTAACTTGTGAATGCATTTTTATTCTTTGATAATTTTAATGTTAAATTAAAAGTTATTGGTAACCGGAGGACCACACTAGCAGTGGTAACACATCCACAACTGTGTTGTTAGTGTCCATCACTATCCTCCTGCCCTTATCCCACCTAGGTGGGATCGGCACAACATGTAAATCATGTCCTAAGAGATTTTGGCTAGGTTTTTTACGACTGGTCACCTTCCTGACATCAACACCTTGGGAACAAACACCCAGATCTGGAACAATTATCTGTGGGTCACACAGATACTTGTGGCATGTTGGAATCGAACCCACGATACCTGGCACTGAAGCCAAAAGCTTAGCGACTGTGCCACCGAGTCAACCGTTTGTTGTTAGTGTCCATCGGCGGTTATCACTTCACACCAGGTCATCCGCATTGTATTTGGTCTATCGTCATCTTTTTGACGACGTAGCGCCTAGCCTGGACCTCAGCGTATTATTATTACTCGTTATGGTGATTAAACTCGAGGGCTCACGAGGGATCACGGCTCGGGCCGTCATACTATTAATTTCACCGGTTTGGGAGGTCGCCAAGCTATTAGAGCGCTTTGGCCGACGCTCCATGGAGTGACTAAATTCAAGGGTCCCCGAGAGGGACCTCGGCTTGGTATGTCACTCAATACGCGTTTAGCATTCCGATTCGAGAGTGCCCGATAGGGCTGGACCTCAGCTCGATCGGTAGCTATTATTTGAGTGGAATAATTTCGAGATCTATCGTTACTACCACTTCGTAAGCCATTGCGCTGAAAGAAGAATTGGCAGAAGAAACTCTAGTAACGCTTCTATCATTAACTGGGGAGAACCTGCCAGGTACGTCGCGGAACCTAGTATATGTTTGCCGCACTCACCGGCGAGTGCGGTGTGTTCTTGAGTTTCCGTAACTGTTTTAAACTTTCGATGGCGATAGTCGTCTCATCGTCAAGGAAGTCGAGAACGTGTCGTGGTCTACGGCAACTGCGGCGGAACTTATCTAGCGGTAGCAGCTTGTGACAGTACGTACGACTAGCGGATTGGGATGCACGGCAGCGGATTTCAAGTATCGGCGCGACTCCAACTTCAGGAATTGAGCGATGGTGGGCAGCTCTAAATTGACATGTAGGTCGATATTGCGCATGAACCATTGTGATCCCGTAGCTCTGCGCAAGAATCAATTCTGAATGACCTAAAGCCGCTGTATTTGCTTCGGAGCATTGTGCGCGAAAACCGGACTCGCGTACGTCATGATAGGGCGATCTACTGCCTTATATAAGGTCACCTTGTTCAGAAGGGACATTTTTGACGTTTTTTGAGGAGCGGATAACCGAGTACGAAGGCTGCCCGGTTCTTGACCCGAGTCTCGTACTGGCTGAATTTAAGTTGGGAGTCGAGGACGACACCTAGGTATTTGACTTTGTTCACCCATGGTACCGGGCTATCCATGAGTATATACTATCATAACGGGTGGTGGAATAGGCACATTATTGTGCGAGGAAAGGACGGCCGCGTTTTTTCCGGGATTGATCTCGATCCTCCATTGCCTAAACAAGTCATCAATAGTGATGGCCGCAGCTTGAAGGCATCGAAGGATCATTTTTGGCGTTCTACCTATGGTATAGAGACAGGTGTCGTCAAAGAGGGCGAGTTCTACATCTTTGACACGTCGATTGATCATGTCGTTCGTGTAGAGCGTAAATAAGACTGGGCCTAACACCGACCCTTGAGGCGTTGTCGAAAACATACCTACGACGCGATAGCGTAAGGTCCGATTACTTAGGAAGTCTTGTATTATGCATACGAGGCGATCGGGCACTCCGTACTCGTATAACT